AATAAAAATGAAGGGAAAAAAAAGGCAATAGAAGATTGGCCCAGGAGCCTCCACAGGTTCACTGATACAAGCAGGAGCTATGTGCCCTATGTGCCCACAATTCATGGAGTGTCTCTAYCAACCAATTGTTCTTTCCATGCTTGGGGTGGAAAAATTATTTTGGTATTTCTGAGAACTGCAAACTTAGACGACAGTTAGATTTTATCAGGTCCATAGATGGCCAGACCCTGCACAGCTGGCAGGAGGTAATGAAATTYGGATGAACGCTTGTGCTTAACCATTTCTCAGTTGAATCTGGTTTATTGCTTTCAGAACTCAGTAGAATATTTCATTCTCGAATCTATTTTGAACACATTAGGAAATGTTTCAAAGGGCAGTTGGCTTCCYTGATTTGGTTTCAAGTATGTCCACAAAACATTTATCACTTCAAACTATAGCAAAGCCACTTCCTTTGRAAGGACTTCATTTCTCTTTCCAGGAAGGCTGTACTGGCTCCTTTCCCACAGGCTCACCAAGCAAGCTGTGTAAAGGGAACAGGCTCCTGTGGCTGCTAAAGAAAACAACTGACCCAGACAAGCATTTGCTGAAAGCTTAACTTGGAGTTTGTGCCAGAGTGAATACACAAGCATCACTGAGAGGCTTCTTTCTTCTGTCAGACATCAGAATTGTTTTCATTTCTGACCACAGGCAGGGGGTGCTTGGAGTATGCCAGAAGCCAGGAGTTAGATTATATTGGATAGTTAYGGCAGCGTGTGCTCTCCGAGAAGGCTCAGCGAGGGCAAAGCTGCATGCGGGGGAGGCAGGGTAAATGTCATTGCATTTGCTGAGGCTGAAGTCAGGGCTCCTTTCCAGCCAGCAAGCGTGAAGCTCTCTTTTTACCTCTGCAGTGTACTGCCATTGCAGCACTGGCTGTTTTTCACCATTAGCTAATAACTTTCTGCATTGCAGGTCTGCATGCGTGCAACTTCCTTGCTTTTATACCTTCCTCTCAGAAAGGGAGAATTTCAAAACATAACTTACTGGGAGGTGCACAATTCTAGAAAAATAACCTTCTTTTGCAGCTGGAGCCAGCAGCAGCTTTTCGTACGTAGCAAGGGAAGAGCTTCGTAAGGATCCTCATCCCCAGGCTGTGCAATGAAGGGAAAGGTCTCTTGATGACAGGCATTGTCAGAAAGAGCTTGGCCAGAGGTCTCTCTCYTGTTTCTGATGAGAAGATTTATATCATGTGTGAGGTTATTGTGAAATCCAAGCTCAGATCATGAGAAGAAACCCTCAGTTTTAGCAGTTCAGAGAAGCATTTCATTAATTTATGTATTCTATGTCTCATCATCTGTGAAAAGCCAGATGAAAGGACAGAGTGCCACACCTCAAAACACTGTGCTGCTGTAGTGTAGATGTCCAGCTACTGATGTTCCCAGGCAGCTGTACAACCAGATGTGGAACTTTAGTGTGGAAGACTCCCTTTAAAATTCTGAGGGAGCACTGGTGTGTTTCTGAACTGATGMCTTATAAAAAAAGTATTCTCTAACAAACACAGTTTGTAGCTTACTTGTCCTGGTTGTTAATATTGCAGAATCTGGAAATATTTCATACTTCCAAATACCAGGCTCCTGCTTCAGTTCTTGTTGTGGATTTGAAGGTCTAACTTTGGGGATACAAGTTTGGAGATGTGTGGAGTTAGTAAAGCAATAGGAATATATCCTATGGGAAGCCAAAAGTGACTATGGGTAAGGGCAGTCATTTGATCTTACTGGTGTAGTTTTGAAGTAAAGATATGTCATTTTTAAGGCCTAACTGAAAATGTAAGTAATTACATAGCTGAATTCTAAAACTTCTTTTAATTGTACTGTTTGTTTCCTTGGTAGTTGTATTTTAATACTCCTAACATACAATAATGGAGTAGAATTTTTAAAAGAGTGAGATATTGAAAGTGCCCATTACTACTACTTCTTTTCATAGGTTTCCTGCCCTGATAAAATATTGAACAGTTTGTGAGCATAGCATCTTAGCTTTTGTATGCTGCTGTGAATTTGTGAGGTGAGTGTAGTTGCAATCCAACAATACTTACTGGAGGGTGAAGTAAGAGACACTGGGCCCGTTACCTGGGCCCTGAATGTTCAGTAATCCACAATATTACCTTGTTAGCCTGAAGTTAGTGTATCTKAGTGCCTTATAGTTGTCATGAAAAAAGCTAACACAGACAAGTCTCTTTCAACATCTCAGCACATTCATTAAGTTGTTACTCAGCCTAAACACCATTTTTATAAAATGTACCATTACATACTTACTGATGTGTTTGTCAATATGTCACACAGTACTGTGATGAATCGTTGCAACTAATCCTATTAGACAAAATAATTTAATAAGTCACATCTGTTAAAGATTTTGGTTTTGTTTTTTTTTTTTAATTCTGCCTATTTACTTTCTTAGAAAATCAGTTTGTTTAATAAATGTGCAGAACCTTTTCCTTTAATCACATTTCCTTAATGGATGTGGAAGGAAATTTTCTTTCAGATATATTCCATTTGGCTTCAAAACTATTTTTTAAATAGCTTTCATCTTTACAAAGGGAAATGATGTACTTTAGAAGTGTATATTGAGTGTTTTTTTCATGAGTTTCACACAAATACTTTGTGTRTAGGTGTAATGGAAGCATGTTGCATACTCTACCTTTGGCCCAGGTTTTACATTGGAGCACCAGGAAATTAGTAATTAGTTATCGATTTTTAGTTATCTAGTTACTAGTTAGTTATAACTAGTAATTAGTTATCGATCCTGTCACTTTAAAGGAGGGGGAGAAGGATGTGTCCCTCTCATGGTGTTATGTGCCATTTCCTCAACTTTTTAAAAATCCCTGAAGTGTGAATCTGGCATAAAAATACCAGCTCCTTGCAATATGTGGCTCAGACAGGTAAGAGCTGAATATTATGTTTTTCCATATTTGTATGGGGTTCCACAGTCATAGCATAAACATTTTAGAGGTTCTTCTAAATAGTCTTAATACTGCAGATTTAAATMATGATGCAGTTACTGCTTTCTATCTAGTTCAGCAYTTTGGTWAAAAAAGTGTCGTGGATGTTAATTTCTGTATAGAGCCAGTGCCTTGGAGTTTGGGTTCCAAAGAGCAGTGGTTTTCAATATTGCAAAGCTGTATTTTCTTCTCACTAAAAAGACATTTTTGCTGTCTGGTTTTGTGATGGCTGAAGGCTCGTAAGCATCTCGTGTGCTTCCCATTGTCACAGGGCTGCACTGATTCTAGGAATAGATATTCCAGTGTGGGGACAATAAATACTAGTATTTACTTATTGAGTTAAAGTGTATCCAGTCTCATTAATATTCAAAATTGCACTGAAGGTCAGGTTTTTCTCAAGTTAACTTTTTCTGCTCTGATCTCTTACTTGGCTGTGGTTTAYAGTACTATTACAAGAAAATATAGGTTTTTAATTTCATTTGGAAGTAAAAACTAAACTGAAATACACAAAATTCTCTCAGAGCAACTCTGGCCATTAAAAAAAAAATCCCTCATCAATTTTTTACAGTCTTATTTTATTTTTCTTTTTGTGTACTCTGCACTGTAGATCTGGTGTGATAGTTGGCTACTTTAATTACTGYCTCTTCGAAAAGGTGAGTGTTTTTAGAGTCTAAAGAATGCCATTTTCCTTTAGAGGCAACCGTGATGGTTGAAGAGAATGAAAGCAGGATGTTTCCAAATTAGCAGGGTGTTTTCCAGATAGGTATGTACCCTTAAAGTGGTTACTGTGACAGTGCCAGCTGCAAAGGTACAAAATACAGASTAGCTGAAGATCTTTTCCAAAAGCTCATCATTACTCAGGCAYAGACTAAGTAGGTATGTTACCAGTGGAGTGTTCAAGGCAGATAATGTGAAACACCAGTTGCTGCTATTTCTGTTCTTCTAGGTTCTTTMCTCAAATAGTCTCAATAGCCCACATCTCTGGGTTAGTGGTATTTTTCTAATTAAATAGGATTTCAACGAAAAATGCCGCTCTCTTAATGCCAAAATTTGTCACAGACAGGATTTCTTACAGTCAGACRGGCCAAAGAGAAGAAAGGTTAGCTGTTGTAGCATTCTTTTGGGTCTGTAAACAATAGAGTGCCTCAATTCCCACTGGCACTGCAAATGTTAAGGCTATTCAGCAGCTGTAAAATTTACTAAGAGTCTCAGATCTAAGCCTGGGAAGCATTCAGCAGTGGCAGTGTGTTAGAGACTYGTTACCAGTATGTGGCTTCAAAATGCTGGGTTTGGACTTTGATCCATTGTCATCCTTGTGAAAGTGCCAGTCCTACAGGTGTTCAGCTRTTTGACTGGTCTCATTTACTAACTTCACACAGCCAAGCTAAAGTMATCTCAGACATCACAAACTATGTTCCAAATCCCTCCTTTTCAATCTTTTTAAATGCATTATGATGCATTAAGGCCCAGTTTTTCAAGMAYGGTTTTTAAACTTTTTTTTTAACYTTCTTTGAGAAGACARTCYGTTTTCTKACTAATAGTGTAGGATCAATGTGCTGTGTTCCACTGTGCTGGTATTCTCCAAAATATCTATCCTCCAKATGTAGAATTCTTCCACAGAAATGTGACTCAATTGCTTCTTGAGCTCAGAACAAAAAAAAAAAAAGGCAGTCCAGAGAAATAAAGAATGTTTTTCTAGAGAAGCTGTAATATCTACAGTAATTTAAAGTGGTCTTCAGAAGGCATTTTATAGAGTTGAGGATCCAGAGTTTCCCTGAGAAATTATGGAGGATGCTCACTTCTGGGACCTGTGAACTTAATTGTATTTGTTTTTTCCTAGACATTTGATCTCTTTCCACCTATCTGATGTACCTTGCCTGTGATAATTTTGTTTTGTGTTTAGTGCTCTGCTGAAGAGTGAGCTGAGACCTGCCTGTGATGTGTCCCCTAAATTTTCTCTTTCCTAGTAAGAAATTGCTACCAACAACTGCAGTGGTTTGTAATGACTGTGAGTTTTCTTCCATTCTAGGTGATGCAGATGTACCTCCCATTCTGTGGGATTGCCATATCCAATGCCCAGCTATTTGCAGCTTCAAGGAAGGAATATGACAGAAGCAGRGTAAGTGCAAAAAATATAGTGGACCAATATAAAACTTTTGTCTTTTGTTCTGGCAGGTTCCAGCTACGTGTACATGTTTGYTAAGCAGACAGTTATATTTTGTTTCAAAAATTGTATTTTCAAAAGATGACTGCAAGCAGAGTGTGGGAGGACAATACGCTTGTTGTTTCCTTATGTCAGTTCTGTGTTTTGTAGTGCCAAAACAATTGCCTTTATGGCACAGACAGTGCAGGAGAGAGTGTTACTTTGGCAGAGATTCAAGCTCTCAGAAGATTCTTCTAATGTTAAGCTTTTGCCATCCTGAATTTCTAATACTCAGGTCATGTGCAAACAATGTGGATATGTCTTTACAAAACTAAGCAAGAAAAAGACTCTTGTAAGTGAAGGGTTTTGACAATATGTATCTGCATAGAGTACACACTCATGATTGCTGGTGCCATACRTGCATTGGGACAGGAGGCTCTGAATTGAAAATAATGCCAGGCTCTCATGTTATTCCCTTGTCAGAGAGGTCTTTTATTTTTTTGAAGAAACAAAATGGTARTTTTGAAGGGTTTTTAATAATGGCTGGCTTTTTTAAATCAACTTTCTGCAATGACAGGAAATTATATTTTTGTTAGCATGGATCACAGGTCCAAAGCTTCAGTAGAAATACCTCTGATAGTGTTGAACCTACTCTCCCTTCTGAAGGTAGGGGTAACTGCTGTGGTCTGGGTTTGTATATTGAGYTCTGACATCTTTATATTCATGATTTTGGTTCTTACATGTATGAAAACTAATGCTTTCTRCTACTTTGAAAAATAACAATGGCCTATTCTAACTACCTTGGGTCATGAGGCATCTGAGTTTGTCTTCTGTCCAGGTCTGAGAACAGACTGTTMTATTTTGGAGTAGAGATTTGGAAGAGACTTGGGGAGAAAAATAGATTGTCTGCCAAAGTTTGTTTGGGGGCTGTTTTTTTTGGTGTTGTTTTTGTTTCTGTTGAGGGTTTTTCTGTTTGTTGGTTTGGTTTTTTGGTGTTCTGTTTTGGTTTTTTTGTGGTTTTGGGTTTTTTTTTGGTTTTTTAGGATTTTTTTGTTTGATTTTTGTTTGCTATTGTTAGAGGAGTCAGCATTTAACCTTCTGCGGAAGATATTTAGCAGGAAGATGTCAGGGACATTCTCATTCTTCATTAGAAAAATACTAAATTTTTGTAAATTGGGTTAGAGATACAAATTCTTTGTTTCTTGTTGCTGCTTTAGCCGTGCAGAGTATAACAAATATTGMTGGTGAACAACTGTGGTGGCTTGCACATGATTGTATTTCTGATCTGTTGGTGGTGTTTAACTTTGCCTAGTCCATGGCTGAAGTCAGTTAGCAAGTACCAAGTGGTGGACAAGCCCATACTGTTCCTTTCCTATCAAGCTAGACCTTAATGGTGGCATTTTCCAGCAACTGTGACCAACATTTTGCTGATGACCACTGTGTTAGAAGAGCTAAGACCACTACAGTTAATATGCTTACCTATATCGATGCTCTTTAGTGTCAGTGCTCTAAATGAGAATAAAGGAAAGAGCAAGCTTCTTTGGATCCATGGTAAGAAAGAGCGTGGCCTGTTTTTTGTTTTTTTTTTAAAGTTGATGAAATGAGGAAAGAAAGCCTTTGTTCTAAAGCATTGTGTTTTACAGACATGTTGTTAGTGGTGAGGTCTGGATCAGACTGCTATTGGAATATAGAAGTATTGATGTGGGTCTTTTTCTKTCCAGTTTTGAACATGCAAAATGGGTAATAAGAGAATAAAATGTAGTTTAAATGTCCTGGCAAATTCAATATAGAAAATCAAGCAACTCAATCCATATTGCTTTGCATTACAGCCATTGTTACATTTTTAGAGCAAAGTGAAATCATTTGAAAGATTCCCACTGTTTGCTAAGAGCTGGATTGTGCCCAGTTGTGAGCTAAGAAATATTTCTTTCTTTCTTTGGATACCCTCTCTAATTTTGTTGCTGTAATCATTGAGCTTTATTTGAATGAAGATTTCAATTAATCACTCATATTAAAATCAGTCCCAGAGATGATGCCTCCTTTGCAATGCTCCATCTATTTATTAATTTTACAACCAATAAAAGAGTCTTCTGTGCTTGCGTACAGGCTTTACTGGAAGTGGTGAATGACCTCTTTGAGGAACAGACTGACTTAGAAAAAATTGTCAAGAAAATTATGCATCGGGCCCAGACTCTTTTGCAGTGTGAACGTTGCTCAGTATTACTTCTGGAAGATATTGAATCACCAGTAAGTATAGTTTCACATTCTGTACAAGATTAATATTCAAGTGGTGGAGCAACTGCTCTTACTGTGGTGAGGCTGCTGTGTACCATTTGTAAGTACTGGACAGCAGGTATTTTTCAGTGGGTTGTTTCTAAATGTAGGTTAGGTACACATTGAAAATTTATCAACACCCCTGTTGTATCTCAATCCCAGTAGGCAGCTAAGCCCCACATGCCCAGGAGCATGGGGAAGGCAGCTGGAAGGCTAAAAGTGTGGTTGTGAAAATCTTGTGGGTTGTGATACGGGCAGTTCAGAAGGAAAGCAAAAGCTGTATGAATAAGCAAAGCAAAATAAATAATCCATATGATCCTTCTAATTGGCAGRCAGGTGATCCATCATTTCCAGGAAAGCAGSGCTTCAGCACATCTAATGTCACCTTTCTCCAGCTTTTACTGCTGAGCACAACATCATATGGATCTTAACATGGGATATCCCTTTAATTAGCTGGAATCAGCTGTCCTGGATGTGTCCTCTCTATTGTGCAAGTCATTTATGGGGGTGGTAGAATGAGAAACAGAGAAGGCCTTGGCACTGTGTAAGGACTTTTCAGCAGTAAAACAGCCATGTGTTATAAATCCTGTTTTCATCACAAAACTAAAACATATCACCATTACAGGCTACTATGGAGGAAATTAATTCCATCCCACAACCACTATAGTCAGCTTTTCAAAAGGAAACTGAAAGATAATTTATGATTCCTTATCGTCTTCTGAATGCATTTAATGGCTTTGTAAGTTGCTGATGGATCTGTCAGTGAATCTRTCAGTGGTGTGATCCAGCTGATATGCTCTGATTCTCAGTTGTCTGTGTGATGGAATTAGCACTTACTACAGAGCAGGTACAACTRCCTAGCTGAGAAGCAAGGTGCTCTTGTGGTCTGATTAAAAAAGAAAAAWTACCTAATTTGTTATCAAACATTTATTTGCTTTCCTGATATAACCACAAGAAGGAAAGAAAATTCCTTTCTATAGCTTCATTTTCACTTACCTGGAATTAGTAACATTGCTAACATTTTCAGGGTATTGATTTATCAAATGGTTGGTGCTTCTAAACAGTTTCAGAACCAGACTCTTGCATCATCAACCTAATTTTTAAATCTCATCTTTATAACTGAGCTTTTCTGCATACATTGAAATAAATAATTACTAAATATCTTYGTTGATATCGCTATAGTGCTCATGCTTTTGAAACTGTTATTGCTTTTTAAGTGTGGAAAACTGATACACATGATTTCTATCCTAATATGTAAACATCTTCAATCTGACTACTGGTCACTCAGAAGTAACAGCTAAAAATAAACTCATCAGGACTTTAACTGACCATCCTTTGTGTTGAGCAGCTCAGTGGGGTCTGCAACAGCCTAATAAGTGTATTCACTGTTACCAGCTTCTGAACTTGTTAATTTTTTTTGTGAAATCCAATTTAGTGTGGAAGAAAGTGAGGGCTGAACCTGCAACACAGGGAGTTTTCTCGGGTGCTTTTGATGGCCACATTTCCTTGGGATTTTTTTCCTTCCCCTTACTTTAGCTGGTGGCAGGGGTCTCTTTGGGAATAGCTATGTTTGCACGTTTTAACAAAATTCTTTATTACTTTGCAAAATAGTATTGAGAACCAGTTCCACTCCCTAAATAATGAAACTGCTGTAAAATTCTAAGTCCTCTTGTTATTTTGTCCTAATAATTTTTCATTGAAGTAACACAAAATCCATTTGAAAAGGCACATGCCTTCAAATGCCAAGAACAGCACATACTTGTTCTTGTGAAAGCAATAAGCTTTTACATTGAGCAGGTGAAATGGAAACACAACTTTCAGCATTACATTAAGTATGTTTGGTTTTGTGCAATTGCTCTGTCCCCTTGACCGGTGAATAATTATTTCATTGCAGACCTCTGTTGAGTAGATGGATGCAAGCTGTATGAAAGTATTTGTCAAGAGTTGGATTTCCCAGTCTTGACAGGGTCTTTTACTGGGACTTTGCAGTACTGATATTCATAGGGTATGAGAGCCTCTTTAAAAATGTTTAAAGTTTTTGTGAGTATTGTTATTAGAAGCCAAATAAGTGCCTGCCTTTATACTGGTACCTCCCTCCAGTGTTTTCTGGCTACTCAATACAAGTTACTTTCCTTTCTACTGGTTTGAGAAATAGTTGAAGGATAAAATATTGTTTGTAATACCTTTTTTTTTTTTCTTCCCAAGTATTATTTTTGGATTCACTGACTCTACAGCTGATTATTTGTTGCTGGGCTGTGACAGGTCAGAGAATCATAGGTTTGTTTGTATGGCAGAAAAAAATCCCCATTCTTTTCCTTGGAGGAAAGATATGATTCACATTTCATTTAAGTTAATAGAAATTAGGAGCTTTCAGTGGAGTATGCCCTAAATTATACTTGTTTTGTAAAAACAAGATCAAGGTTTTTGTTTCACTTACATGTCCTACAGAGTTTTAATATTTCTAGTTTCTTTTCTCTTTCTAGATTCACTTACCTGCTCCCCTTTCCAATTTTATAATCACAAGATACAGTTCTACTACATTCTTAYGAAATGTCACTCTGTTCACAACTATAACATGATTTTTATTTTTCATAGAGAARTACATTGTGTTAGCAAGTTGTGGGTGGCTTTGTTCACTTCATTTTTCTGATCTTGGTAGTATTTCTGCCTTTGAGCTTGGAGRTGTTTTACCCAAACCACAAGCAAGGAGACCAAATTGTGAAAYGTAGACAAAAAGCCTGAACTTTTTCTAAATGGACATAAATCTTAGGTTAATTTGGAGTAGACTAATATCATCAGTTATTTTCCTGACTTTTTCCCTKTTTTGGAGGATTAACACACATACCAAAATGGATCTCCTCAAAGTAACTCAATGTTAAACCATGTCTAAAATGTTGTCATTTGTACATTGTGCAGAAAGCTTTTACAATTCAGAACCGAAGTGAAGATGGGACACATCCAAAAACATGGCAGCCTCTGTTCTGTGTCATGATTAGCTGCTGTTGTTTCACTTACATGCTCCTGACACACATGTTCAAGTGTGATTGGTTGCAGTCAGTAATGCAAAGCAGCCTGTTTATTTTCCGATATTAAAAAAGTGAAGTTTGGGTAAGGCTCTATGTCTGTAATTCATGTCGCTTTAAAAGCCTTTAAATGGAAGCATATACTCTTGTAGAAAATAGTTTTCGGAAGATACCTAAAAATATAATTGGTTTTGATACTGTTTTTTTAGGCAACTGTACACAGTGTGTTATCTTGAACATGAATACTCCATTGAGAGAATACAGATCGTATTTTTATCTGAAGAGCATTRGACAAAAATACAGTTTAAATATAGGAACCTTACAATACTGTTTTCTTAGCTGTTTATTAATCTTATTAACAACCTTAAGTTACTGTTTTTGTGACAGGTGGTGAAATTTACAAAATCCTTTGAGCTGTTATCTCCAAAATGCAGTGCTGATACTGACAACAGGTTAGTGCTCATGTCTTCTGTCATTATGGATAACTTCATTTTTCACATCGATTTAAAATTTGCTTGGGTCAAGATTTTATTTTCTTCTGGAACTTTGTATAGATTTGATTGAAGGGTGTGAGCTTACAATTTTTATTCAGACATGACTCCTGCTTGCTTCAAATGGAGACTTGCATAAATATATGTGCCTGTACTTTTTATAGATGTATGTTTGTGTGTGTATATATGSACTAATATTGTATCAGTGTCTCAGGTAAGATATCAGGAGAAAACTGATTYTTTATGGTTAAACTCATTGATAACATGCAGATGTTTTGCATGATTAATATTGAAGTAAAAGTGACAAAATTATTTCACGTTATTTGTTGATCTCTTACAAAATGCCTCTTACAGTAAAATTTTATTTCTGCTCTTGTCAAATTGGAAAGCCTAGATACCTCAGAGCATATGTAYTTCCTAGAAACTGTGTTCCTGTGACTAAATCTTGTTTCGGAGCCCAGTCAAAATGGAAGTATATGTTTTGCTTAGTAGCATCTGTATTGAAACATTTATAAAGTGCCAATTTAAAATAGTAAAAGAAAGCTTTTTGTTCACATGAGGTTATTATGTTAATCTCTACAAGGTTATACCACTGGTAGCAGTTGACATAAAATGTCCTATTTATGAAATGATGGGGTGAGGATTCAGGGCTGTTGTGAGAACATTTCTTCCATCTTTTAGGGCTCAGTGTGTATCATGTATGATTTATGATATTATTCATACTAATTGTGAAAGAAAATTTCCCATATCAAGTGGCTGTCATAATTATAAACTATAAACAGGCTGACAGCAGAGTCCAAGGCCACACAGAAACATGGGTAGAAGCTATCTATCTTCCATGTCCTAGTAAGGCAAATGGAAAACAAGCAACAAAAAATAGGAAGATTTAAATACGAATAAATAATCTATTGATTCATCTGARAATCACAAGTTACTGTTTTTGACAAAGAGTTTCAGAGTGGCAGTTGGTCTTTCCTAGGGGGTGAAAATACATTTCTTTTATTCAGGAACAGGAGTATGAATCAAGAGATGTGGTTTTTATTCCTGTTTTTCTCAAACTTGATKTGTAGCCAGATTAGTCAAAACAATGTAGAGTGGTGTCAAGATAACCAAGCTGGCTCATTTCTTGTTACCATAGTTATATTAGCATGTTGCCACAGAACAGTTTGTAGTAGCCTGCTCTGCTTGTAGTCAAGTTAAGATTATTCATGTCTTGGACTAAAGTTAAAATAAACACATGCAACTTGGTAGCTAGTCTTTAAAAGATTCATAAAGGTATAGTTCTATTCATTTTATTATAAAGTGTATTGCTTTTTCTTTGATCTTTTTCCTGTGGAGAGTGAAGTTGGTTTTACAAAGACCAAGGTTAGACTGGCAGATMTGATGTCATATTTGGATCTAGCACAGGCACAGCTTGAGTTATTGGCACTACAGTGGAAAAATAAAGGTTATTTAGGATAYAGAACAATGCCGCGAGCCCTTGACATTTGAGCATTTTTCTAGTGAGTTTTGCTCTTTTCATTCTACATTCTGCAGCTATAACTGATGTAAAGTCATGAGACTTTTCATGTGAGGAATAAAAAATGGCAGGATGATTTTCTTCATCATTACAGCAGTTAAGRAAAATACTATTTCTTTGAAATTTTRGTTGAAATCCAAAGACATTTTAGACTGAGAACAGCTCTCATTGTAAGTTTTATCTAAATGAGAAAAAAAGCTCCTAAGACAATATGACTTTCATGCCCTAATATACTTTCTCACACAGTTTTAGAAGAAGTTTGCTTTTCTTTTGCCCTCCTTGTATCTGCCTGATAGCAGCTMATCTGTTTAATCCCTAAATATCATAATAAATTCTCATCTCTATTTTCTTTGTTGTTGGTTGTAAAGAAATAACTTGCAAGGCCACACTTGCATTTCTCTGTTCAGTTTGCAATTTTTYATCACACACCATGATCGAGTTTGTTTATTATCCATAGTGGCACGCTGATGCTCTTGTTTTTGCTAACAATTTTGTTCTTGAAGTACAAGTTTGCCAAGATCCCTAAATTTTCTCCCCCTCTGAAAAAATAGTACATAAATCTTAGAATCCTTGAGGGTACAGTTCTGATGTAATCTAGATGAAGATGAGCCTGATGGAATGTGCTGTGGACTGTGTCTTTCTTGCATAGAGGCAGCTGTTTTGGCACATGAGGTTACATTTTAGAAGGCAGCTAAGATGATGYTTCTCTGAGAACCAGTGGTAGTGGACTGGTCATGAGTATGAGTTATGTGGGCAAAAATACCTGTACTCCTTCCCATGTGGGCTGGGACAGAGGAAGTGCTGAAATCCCTCAATCCCTGCCACCACCATCCCTGGGATGATGCACCTGTCTTCCAGAGTATGGGTGCAGAGCACTTGTTAGGAACGGAGACAACATGACAGATCTTACTTTTAAAACTCCTTCATTAATTTTATCTTGTTTCTTTTRCTTGAGTTTATTTGCTGCTTAAAATACTTGACACCCCTAATGCAGTCCTGATTTATGAGTCTTATATGAGAATGATAATGCCATTCAGATAAGTTATGAACTGGAAGCTATGCATTTGAAATAATATCCTTATCCTTAAAGATTCTTTGGTTCTGAAGTATATGAAATAAATTATTAATTAAATTTGAAATTATAAATGTGATTTTTTTTTTTTTTTACTTAGCTCAAAACTTGTTATATTTATGTAAAGGTCTCTGTCAAAGTATACACATAACATTTATTACAGTCACTCAAAATTCTTATCCCAAATGAAAGTTKATTTCTGTAAATCATGATTATTTTTATTTATAGTCTTTTAAGAATATTAAGTTTCCTTTCAGTTGAGTGACATAGTTGAATTAGTCTCCTGAAAATCAATGCAGTCAACAAAAATCAATCCTTTCCCTTTGATTGAGTCTTTCAAGGATTTTACTGTGCATCCTGCTTTCATTCATAAGCATTACTTTAAAGCTTCAAATAATTGTAGTCTTCTCTGTAGCTTCTTCATAAGTTTTTTTCTCAGTAATGTTTCTCAGGTGTTGAAAATTTATCAGTTTTCTTTCCAAGAAAAAGACAGCATGCATTTTTTTTTTATTAGCAAATGAGTAGCCACACTTTGCCAGTGTCAAGAACCTGCCTGAAATAAGTCAATGAGAGCTTTCCTGCTGATTASGTGAGGTATGAGGTGAGGACTTTAAGGTCTGTGTAGATACTGAGTTTTCTGGAGAAGCTGTGGAGTGTGGTGAGTCCATAATTCTAGTGTCTTATGCTCATTTAGTGATAGCTCTCTAGCCCCTCAGTAATTGTGGCAGAAACTCAAACAGGTAAAAAGAAAAGGAAACCATCATGTCTTGTGTGACTTCTTGGATCCACCTGCTGTAATATACTTGCAGTATTGATTTAAGACTTATTTTATGATTTCTTCTTCAGCCATTCAGGTCTGGCATTTCAGACCAAAATTCTTTTTAAAAGTCATTTTGGCAAGAAAACTATTGAAAAGAAGAATTAAAAATATCCTGAATTATAAGCCTAATTTAAAAAAAAAAAACCTTAAAAGTATATGCTTTCTGGTAACTCTACAGAAAACAGTGTTTAGAAGTAACCTGGAATATAATCCATTGTTGATTCATAGGTAAATTCATTTTTTTATCCATTATTTTATTTACTTGAAACACCAAGGCTATTTTCAATAGAAATAGTTATGTAAAGGAGAGAAATTTTGAGGAAACATTTCAACAAATACCAAGTTCTTGTTTCACAGTTAATTCTTGGTAACCGTTAATTATTGTGAATGGTTTTGCTGTTGCTGTTAATGTGCCTGTAAGATATGCTGCAGTTCCAATTAATGTTGACTGTATTCTTTTCTTCCCTTGCCCTGCATTTTGACAGTTTCAAAGACAGCATGGAAAAATCATCGTATTCAGACTGGCTAATAAATAATAGCATTGCCGAACTCGTCGCTTCCACAGGTCTCCCAGTGAACATCAGTGATGCCTATCAGGATCCTCGCTTTGATGCTGAGGTAAGAGACTTTTACAAATGGAATTACATATTATTTTTTGGGCACTGCAACTAATATAAAAAATTTATCATATAYCCAAGTGGCTGTGAAACATGTGAATATGTTGTCTTTCTGGTCTTCTGTTGCTGGCATGGCTTTATGCAGTAAACACAGGTCACTGAATTAGTGATTACTTTAAACAGTTAACTTGGTCCACAATTTTTTTCCGTATTTATAAGCAGTAATTCCCTATTTATAAGCAGTCCCTCTACCAATTGCCTTGATATTTATGSAAGCTGGTTTATATTGCTGCAAATCTGTTGGTGTTCAGTGTTAGCAGCATCAGCGTTGTTAGTTGTTGGGGTGACTGGGGCTGTAGTGTAAACAGAGCTGCTATCCAGACAGACAAATGTTGTTTGTGATCTAACTTAGCCAACCAACCATTCAATTTGCTCAAAACCACACTAGATAGGGTACTTTGTCAACATACACATTGCTCCTAATAAAAGTTGCTTGTGTATCTGAAGGTGTTCATTCCAGCCTCAGTTAGAAAGGTGTAGCTACAGATAAAAATGTCAGTATGCTTAACATCTAGATAAATGTTAGGAGGCATATAGAAGGACAAAATCTTCACTGAATTCTAATCCAGCGTCACTATGGAGGACTTGTCCAGCAGTCAGGCAGCACRTTTATCCGAGGACAGCCCTGGTCAGAAAGCTTCCTAAAATATATTACTACAGTAAGTGTGTTGGAAGTGTGTTGGAATGTTGAGATTTTGCTTGGTTCCAATTTTATTCCATATGTCATTAAAGGGATTATCTCTCAAACCATCAGAATTTTTTGAAAGAAGAAAAATAAAAGGAACCTGCTATGAAAGTATATGAGGAAAAAACTGCATTGATGATAATCTGTTCAGAATTGTAAGAAGTACAATTAATGCCTGGGGTCTTTATATGTGCTAACATAAAGTATGCCAGWCCTTGATATTTGAAATTGTACTTCTGTTATATCATGTCCTGAATAATTCAGCTATCTCTTATTTGTTTCACAGTGAGTCCTTTCCAAATTGGAGACACTGTCCAATTTATATAGAAAAAAAGAAAATTATACAAATGGCAATAATTATTTTCTTTTGATGGATGCCTATGAAAATTTAATTCTTAAATTCACTTTTTCTACTCCATTGTTTCTACAGTCAAGCGTAGTAAGAGGAACATGGTATCCCTTATTACTTAGAATCAAACATTTGTAGTTATGAGCARATATTCTGTTCTGTGCTTCTGTAGAAAATTGTCTCTATTTTTTTCTCAGAACACTAATTCTCATTTTCAAATGTTGATGCTCAATTTTCAACTCACTCAGCAAGAATGTAATGCAAAAGTATTTTGGGTTTAATTTTAAGACATACATCTGAATCAATTATTCCCCCACTCACATGGATTTTAGGTGGCACTCCACACATTTCAGTGATGAGTTCTCAGTACGAATAAATAAACAGTAATCTAATGAAAACCTGAGTTATATCTTTTGCTAGCTAGGAGAKCACAGTGATCACACCCTGCTTCCAATATATGAATTATTACTGGTCTTTTACTTTTCTTCTATTACAGATTGCCTATAGCACTGSCACTTTTAGTAAGAGAACATTTCCTGATCTGCTGTGAGTGGAGCCATACCACTTTCTAATCTCTTTTGAAAAAATGTTTTCTGTTCATCAGATTTTGCAGCACTGACATTAAGGAATAAAGCCTTATTAACTGTACAAAAGAAAGAAGCAGTGAAGTTTACAATAAATTGTGAGGGTGTATATTGTATCAGATAGAAAAACAATAAATGAGGCCGTAAATTGTCATCAGAACAAAAGGACCAATTGTCTCAAATCTAGGGTTTGGCTCCACCCTTACATTTCTTACTAACTTGCACTTCTGCACAATTCCCTACTTATTCTTACCTTACTTCTGAAAACATGTATTTCCTGTAAGCYTCCTTTTACAGCTGCCTTGCTAAGTCCAATTTCACTTTGACAATTGGGCAGAGTATTTCTAAAGCATACTTGTTCGGTGAAAGTTAACTCTACTAATCCACCCTTGCAAGTAGTCCAGAATTTGTCTGGACATTGCCTTGGTTGCAGTTTGTCTTTAGTGCCAAATCAGAAAATAGTGTAAGCTTTGTAGCAAACATGCCAATGTTTTTATTTTCTTTAGCAATTTTTAAATAATCTTTTTGGTGACTGTGAATGAAGTTTCAGCAGAATATTTCCGAGATCTGGTCCATATGGAATGACATTTCTAAATGTAAACTTACTCCTTGGCATTTCTATTACTATGTTTTAAAAGGCTGCAAATAATACACTAAWGGGAGCTCTCATTTTTACATTTTAGGCAGACCAAATTTCTGGCTTTCACATAAGATCTGTTCTGTGTGTTCCTATATGGAACAGCACCCACCAAATAATTGGTAAGACTTTCCTCATGCCTTCATAGTTTTTGTGCTAATGTAAATTTAGTTCTGTCTTTTTAATTCTGTGTTCCTTTTTCTTCTTTTTCCCAGCTGAATATTGTTAAGAAGTTACGGTACCTAGGATGCATGCTAAGTATCCAAGAAGGGATGTTTTGGCTTGGATACTCTRTGGACTTTTTCAGCTTTCCAGTTGTGTCATTGTTAAGTTATATATTGTCTTGAACTTTAATGAGATGAAAACAGAAATTCTAAGCATATTAGTGRAAAAATGTTTTATATGCATTGATGTTTTTCTTGGGTCTCCCTCTCTAGTACATGGGCAACTGTTTTTGCAGTCTAAGTGGTCATTCCCCTCTAAGTTTAAACTATAGACGCAGTCAGGGAAGACTTGCTGGAGGGGCTGTGGCAGCAGTTGGAGTTGCCTGTTTGCAGTGGTGTTTGCTGAATCAGGATGTTGACAGGGTTTTATTGGATCTTTGATACGATGCTTCCCAGCTGTGCTACACCAGGAGTTGGCCCTGTGTTATTGCTKGCTTTTGGCAAAAAAGGAGTGCTTGCAAATACCAGCGCCAGATTCCTCTACCTTTCCGCAGAAGAACTGACGTCAAAGCAATAATTTAAACTGTCAGAGMAAGAGTTAGATCCCTGTACGTGGCTGTCAGGAAGAGCAGAGATCAGTAGTGCATTGCTGAAGGCATTTGGTGTCATGCAGGATCTTTGAGCTTCTTTAGCAGCAGTGATGTGGCAACTGAGTATTTTAAAAATGCGGCATGTTGTSTGTTGTGAACTGCATTATCTTAAAGAAGGAGAAATAATCTGCCCTCTTGACAGTTTATTGCTCTTACAGTATTTTTTGAAGGGCTTATTGTAGCTAAATGAAATAGAAATGTWTCTTGCAGTAGAAATCAGTATTAGTTCAGAAAATAATTTTTTTTCATTGGTTCAGTAAATTAATGAACCAGTCATGAGTAAAAAAGGGGTTTATATACCCAGATGATGCTAAAGCAACTAAGATTTTAGGAATGAAGGTACTGGTTCAGCAAATTATATTGGTAACTCCAAATTGCTAGGACAATTTATGTTAGCAAAGTGATCAAATAGAACTTCAACCTTTAGTGAAAAGCATTGTGAGTAACTTTTAGATTTTTCAGTATTATTCTTAGAGAGTAAAGAATAATAGCTGAAAGTACTGGTATCAAAACAATCAAGCTATTGCATGTCTGTGTCTGTTTAATGATTTTCAGAATATTTGCATTTTGCCTTTCAGTCTGAAATACATGTACATTTTACCAATGAATAAAACATTCTGCACTGTGAATGAAGATTATAATCCATTTTAACTCTTTCTAAAGGGGTAGCTCAAGTGTTGAACAGGCTTGATGGGAAATCCTTTGATGATGCTGACCAGCGAYTGTTTGAAGTAAGAGGCATTCAGTTGTTCAGCATTAATATACTTTTTCAGTAGAACTTGGTATTTCTGAGTAATCTGCTTTAATCCACATCAGGGAGGGGGGAAACATATGTTGTCTATATTTGTGGTTTGACATTAATTCACTGAGAAGGTGGTATCCTAATTGAAACAAGTTTCTGGCATCTGATCTCTCATCTGGAGGCAAGTGACTTACCTGCTTTCCTAAGATAACATGTTTCAACATGATTATTACTAATATTTCCATGCAGTTTTCTTTAATGATTAACCCTGTAGTCATCTTTGTGTTTGTATTATAATTGATTCAAAACTGACTTCCTTTTCTTTTTTTCTCTTTTTAAATTTTAGGCTTTTGTTATTTTTTGTGGCCTGGGTATCAACAACACAATTATGTATGACCAAGTGAAGAAATCCTGGGCAAAACAGTCTGTGGCTCTTGACGTATGTGTACTACTTCTCTTGCCCCTACATGTCACATATAAAGAAGCCCACTACATTTTAAAAAACCATCATTATTTAAACTTTTCTAACCAGATTCAACAATATAGCACTGCTGTCTATTATATATGTGGAAATTTGAAACATTATCATATTAAAAATAATCTCGATGAGAAAAAAGCCTGGAGTTTTGAGGATAGCTTTATAAATCTACATTATTCCTACTACAACAATAATTTAAGAGCGGTTTGAATGAAATTTCAGAACTTTCAGAAAGCAAGACTGATTAATCTTAAAACATTCCTCTGAGGAAAGGGTAGCATTACTAAGATTTTGGTGTTGTTTTAAATTTCAAATATGATAAGAGAAGAAAATGATTTAGTTATCCCTAATGTGTGCACCTTTTACCTGTGTAACTCCTTTGAGTTTATTCAGCATTCACCATTACAGTGAGAACCACAAAAATAACATTGGCTTGAATGAAATACGAAATTCTTTCATGAAAAAGCTCAAACCCAACTGAACTGYTATAAAGAGGCTTTTTTTCCCTTTCTTTAGGGTTGGAGATATTAATTTGCATAGTGGGGTTGTATCGTGATGTATACARACATATTACAGCTTTTCAAAGTCAGTAAGACTGTTGGTGTTAGGAATTCTAAGAATAAGCAGCTTTATTTATTATTTCTCTACATCCATTTAGGAGGAGAAGTTAAAAACTTATCTTTTCAGGCCTCCTTTAAGATCCCTTATACGTTCCATGTCGTAGTCATGGATTAGTGTATGTACTCACATGTTCCAGATGTTTGTGCAGGATGACACCTCAGAATGAACGCTCCTCCTAGCAAGAGAAACAAGCAGTATTAATATCACACACAGACACAGGGATGCAAGTTAACACAGAAGTTTGTTATTTGCTACAGTAATAAGACTTTTTTTTTGTTTAAAATACAGCTCCTTACTTTGATCTTAAAAATGTCTAATAACCATGTAGCTTACATGTAGAGTATAGGTTTGTTAAATAGCCATAATTCTTCAATGAAGAGTAATTCTCTAAAACTGGGCAACAWCTCTTGATTATATTTGCATAAAGTGATGGAAGATGCAGGAGGAAAGTATTGAACAGTGAAATGGTATAAGCCGAAGGACTGTGAACACACTTTTCAGTAACAGAATACTTCATTAGTATCTATTTAGCTATAGCTATATATGTATTTAGTTACAATGGCAAGGAATGGCACTTGGAAATTACATTGAGAACAGATGTAAAATAAATCAACTTGTTATATATCATAATAAGATTCTTACCGAGATATACTGATACAAGTTTTCATATACTATTCTGATAAGATAGACTATTAAACAGAAGAACAAAACATAAATAAATKATTAGGAAAGGTTGCCATGATTCAAAGCCAGGCTAAATACATTTTTTATATTAAGAATATGAAATTTACAAATTATTAAAATATTAAAATAATATCTACAAGGAAGACTGTACAATTTTAGAGGGATATAATGAGCACAGATCAAGGAGAAGCTTGATGACAATTTTGATATTAAGTGTAATCTGTCATAATAGAAGATGTAATTTGACTAATCTTACCAATTTCTGAGAGAAGTTACAATATGGTTAGACAGAAAATAGATACTATTTGAGAAAGGACATGATGTATAGTTATACTAATTAAAATGCAGTACAGAACAAATTATTTTGTTACTTRTTCTTTTATAGTACAGGAGTGAATTCCTGTTATTCTAAAAGGTGGCATCTCTAAAACTGATAAGAGTAAGTACATCTTGGGACTTAACTGCCACAAGGTATTGCCAGTCACAGGCCTATGATCTACAGTTTAGGTATTTGCATGAATAACAGAGACATTCATAGATGAAAATTATTTCAAAGTGAAAAGTATATATAAGCTTTAGCACATCAGGAAGTCCTGTGTTGCTGTGCAGGGAGCAGGACCTGTCCTTGCTGAGAGTGCTCTGGCTCTGGGAGCTCCCTCATGGACCTGCACCTTGTCCCATGCACAGCCAGACCCTGCTGGGTCCAGAACACGGGATGGCTCTTGCCCCTTCTGCAGTGCTTGTTCAATGTCAGCATCGTCCTATAAGGATAAAATGTACTACATGCCATCCCTAAAATGGTATTGAAGAGAATGTCAGACATACGTGGAGCTGCTGATGTTTGGATGCAGAGATATGCTGCAAGTATAGGCATTAAAGCTTTTCAGTATAGCAAAAAGTGTTATTAAAAGTCTGTAAATATACTGTTTTTACAATGATTTCTTTCCCTTTTGAGTATAGAAATCCAGGAGAACAATGTAGGAATCCTTATAATATTAAATTATTTACTGTCTGTTATTCCCTATAAAATTCCCTGCAATATAAATACCAAATGTGTACCTGATAACCTGCAATTAGCTATTATGTGCTGTCAATCAGAACTGAATTATCACATAAATGCTAATTAAATTTGCTTTAAACATAATTGATTAGACTGTATACAGAGCCCTGAATATTTCTACTTGCCAACTGTACAAAAATGTTTATCTTTTGTTCTGGGGCAGGTATTGTCTTATCATGCAACATGTTCRAAGGCAGAAGTTGATAAATTCAAGGTAAGATTTAAGCTTCTACTTATTTCTGAAAATATAACAGTAAATTAATATTAGTGTTGATTATCTTAGAGACGTTTTACATCATAGGCAGAAAATCTTAATTAACAATGATATCTTAATTTACAAAGGATATGTTTCATGTTAGGCTGTTAAGCAGGGAAGGTGGAAAAATTATTTCAGATGAAGAGCTGCAGTGATGGGTGCACAGCAGCAAAGCCCCATTGTCCCAGCACCAGCTRCTGGAGCTGTATGTCCCTGTGGGTTTGGTGGCCTCCTCAGCAGGAACCWTGGCAGGGAAGTCATACCACATTAGGAGATGAGGGGGAGTATAGAAAAAATGAGAGGAGTTGAGACTTTACATGCTTGTAGCAGGGAAGACGCCTTCTGTTTACTGAAAATGAAGAGCACTCAGTATCCAGAYTGTGCGTCAGCTCAGAAGGCTGGATGGGAAGGTGAGGAATCTTCTAATTCCTGTAAGCGCCCTGGACAAAATGTGGAAGTGATGTGTTCTGAGTGTAGCATTGCTAGGGACCAGAAATTACATGTTCTCACTGAATCCTGCCTTGTTATGGCCTAGAAACTGGGGGGAACAGTGACCTTGATCTTTCAGCAATACCAGCACTCCAGAGCTGCTTTTGTGATTGACTGTTTGCCTTTTCCWGCTTGAGGAGGCACTTGGGAAACTTGGTGATGCTTTCCTTGGCTATGAGGAGGCAGTGCTTGTTAAGGGCTCCTCAAAGCTGTTTGGGAGGCTCTCATGGTGGGTATCACTGTTGGTCTCCTGAACACAAAGTGCATCAAAGACTGTAGCGAGGTCTGGGAAGGAGATCTGGACTGTTGTGATGCTGCTGCTGGCATTCCCTGCTCTGGAACCCTGACATCTGTCTGGCTGATGACATCTGTCTGGGTGGTTATTTTGACACTTGGCTTTGGGGCTCTCTGCACCATGGGGACAGTTATGGTGGAAAGGGGAAAACATGGGTGGCATAGAGCTGATACTGATGAGTTATCTGGGCTGAGGACCAGCAGCTCTTGCTAGTTAATTAGTTTGTAGWTTATTGTCCAAGTGATGGCTGTGCCTTAAGACTTTGTATCAATATGTGGTGATAAGAGTGTAATATTCTCCCTCCACTAGTTACCAGTATAGTTACCCACACTTCTGTATACCAAAGATGAGATTACTGAATTATTGCTGGAATCAACATGCTTGAAGATCATTCCAACACTACAGAAAATAYTTTTGTGTGCACAATAAGTTGTATTCAGTGTTTTGCAAAAAGAGCTCAACTCTGTGTTGAGAGAGAGGAAAGAAAGGGATAAAGGACCATTGATTTTCTATTTTGTATTTCCAGAATAAGCACCTGTAATATCATTTCCTTGACTGTCAGGATTCCACCAGCATCTTTGTAGTAGAAGAGGGCCATACTTGATTGCTGTCAGCCACTGAAAGACAGCTCTCCTTCATAGTCTATGTAGTTGAAATAAGAGCTTGCTATGTTACTCTTTGGACTCAAGTGCTCATGTGATGAGAAGCTGTTCTATTTGTTTTCCCAGGTGACTTCATTAATAGGTATACCAGTGTCCAAGTAAGAARTGTCTTTTCATTAGCTGTTTACTTTGAAGGCATGCAGCTGTTTAATGGCCAATAGTAAGGTAAAAGGAAATGAAAAGGATTTATTCATTAGTAACTGCAAAAGATACATTTCTTRTAAAGAACATAGATGAGAAGATAAGGAATATAACCAAGCTATTAACTAAGTTAAGCTATTTTTTTCMGAAAAAATTTCCCTTTCCTATATCCTGTTGTCTCACTTTGGATTCCTGACATAATGAGTTTTTAGTAGACTTTGTACATGCTTTCACATCACTGAATGTAAACRAAATAAAAGAGCAAAAACCCAGAGACAACCAGCATGTCTTGTGGGCTTGTGACACAGAGCTCATCCCCAGAGAGGACCATCCATCTGTGGGATGAAATCAGTCCCATCTCCCTGCTTGCAGCCCTGCCGAGGTCCCCTGAGGCATTCTACCCTGAAATCACTGCTCTTTTCTCTCTTTGTTATACTGTTACATTTTGTATAAGACCATTTTATATTGGGGTCAACTTCTGGCCTTGACTGGTTAATAAACCATCCCTTGCTCTGGGGGTGTTTGGGGCTCAAACCGTCCCCTCTGTGTGTGGTGATTTATTGGCAGCTGTCAGAGAAAATGTCTGCTAAGATTTACCCGATGTTGTGGTCAGTCAGAGCAGTGAGACACATGCAGGATGGAAACATCTAAATGAGAGCAATGCCAGAAGATCACTATTGGCTCCTGACTGACATCAGCAGTAATTAATGACTTTGGAGTGACAACTTTTTGAGTTGACAACTTCTCAAGACATTACCCCAAACATACTATAACTGCACCCCAGCAGCTTGGAAATAATGACATACTCTTGCAGTACAAGTTTCTTCTTTCCCTCTTTGTGATTTGTTTTTTTTTTTTATAACCTTCATAGAATGTTTTTCCATTAATTTTTATTTGCTTAGGATCTCAAGAATACTCTGATAAAAAGTGAAAAATTGCAAGTGAACTTGAAGTTTATTTTTCCTYTGGCTTTTATCAGTAAATTATTTTATTGCATTATAGAAAGCGTAGCAAGACTATTTAGAGTTGATTTTTTTGCTTGAAATTCCATCAGTATTTCTTACTGTTAGTGGATAAATTCACAAACATACAAATTCAAAAATATACCTGGTCTCTTTTTAAGAATGAAGCACAATCACTGTGACCAGGTTCTGTAAAATAAGTAAAATTTATTTCTGTTTCTTCTAATCCCATCTAAGAATTAAGGAAGAAAACCTGATCTTAATAGAAACCTTAAGAAATTAATAGCTTTCTCCAGTTGTATACCTGGAAAAAAGTGCAAAGCACTTATTGGTGGTGGAGCTGGAAAAATACAGAGGGAAGTTCACACAATAATAAAAACATGAGTGTATGAAAATGGAGTGTGTCTTACAATTGGCTAGTAAATATTTTTAGATTTTTAAAGAATTATTAGGTTTAGATTATGATAGGTTCCAAAAAAATGGGTACTGTTAAATTAATAGAAATTTAACAGTAATTTGTTATGACAATATAAACTGTAATAATATTTTTTAGATTTTCTGGTACATGCTGCATTACTGTGATAGGTAAATTTCTGATACCATTCCTCCAGATACAAGAAGAAAAACTAAACTTTACTTTCCATGGACATTTGCAAAAATTAAAACAAAAAACATCACCTTGTGTGTAAATTTTTMTTAAATCAGACTGAAGACTTCAGACAGTCTATCACAATGCTTGTCTTCATTTGCATCTGCATAACTCTGCCAAATTCAAACTGAATTTTGTCAGGGTAAGTTAAAGAAATGCACCATTGAATCATACCCATATCAATGTTAATTTCATTTTCAAGAAGTTAGAAATAGCTATGATTTAAAAGACTGGCAAGTCAGTTCTCCCTTGTATTTTAGACTTACAAGACTATTCTGTCATTTCCATTGTGTACCAGTGCTAGTGCTTAGCTATAAGCTTTTGAGTCATTGGAATAGATAAGGCACTTGAAGTCTGATTAATCTAAGATTGAAGCTATCTTGTAACATTGTTCTGTAGTGCCAGGTTTCTTCTTACTGAAATTCAGGCTTCCAAGCCTAAATATAGTTATGTGTTAGACAAATATAGATAACATGAGTAAAGAACGCAGAATTGTGTTCGGGACAGGATATTTATAGCAAGAGTTACTGATTTATGAGACAGTAATGAACAAGTCCTGTGACTTAGCAAGCAGCCCCACAAACACACATCACCTTTAAATTTAACTAATGTAGTTTCCAAAGAGAATATGTAAACGCTGTCCTATTATGGGCCATGTACAAGAAGCTATTTTTAAGAAGAAACCTAATTACGCAGCTGTCAATGGTATAACCAGATCAATATTTAATGACTATGATGAATTATTTATAGCCCTGTGAGAGATTTCCCTTTTTAGGTCAAACAGCACACAGGAGAGATACATTATTTTCCGTTGTGTATCACCTGCTTTACAGAATCTTCAATTCAAAATGTAGCATGAATAACAATTTCTGCATTTCTCAGTTTTCTAGCCTGAGGTGTGGCTACTTATGATCTACTGTCATATAGGGAGGCTTTTGTTTCTTTCTTGAAAACACTCATTTAACTACAGAAATACGAAAAGAGTTGAACCAAAAAAAAGAAATAACTAAGACTGTTACTCTATATGACAGTGTAAACAGCTGAATCCATGAAAGATGATGGATCTATGTGAATTTGTTACTTGGAGTGAGTTATGTATGATTTAAAATTGGTTATTCATGCCTTATGCACCCTTAAATGCATAACAGTGGGCAGCACAATGAAAAARAGAAAGAAACTTTTTACTAATTTTGTCTCCAATCTTTGAAAGAATTGGGGGAGCATTCCTAGGCTATGTTATTCTCTGCTGTGAGGTCATCTTTCAGTTTAGAACTACTTTCATTACAAGCTTATAAAAGTAATTAAATAATTTTTAGTGGTTTATAATTACTTCATAGTCTTCCTCTGTAAATGAATTTTGGAAAGGTAATCTGGTTTTTGTGTGTTGGATCCATTATGAAATATTGCCATAGAATACGGGAGTTTATGCATTGCTGTTTTTTTTTATTGCCCAGCTGTTTCAATCCTTTTGGTAAGCTGTGCTCACCAAAACCCACAAGCACATACTCACACTGCGAGGTCAGCATTGTGAGTCCTGGTCCCGGCCGTATGTATGGGCGAGCACAAAGCTCTTCACACACTCCAGGATTTTCCAGATTGGCCTCCAGGACTGGTCACACACACTCCTGTCACAGCAGGGTGCGGGCTGGTACTGGCACTTTTTCCTAGTGCTATTCCAGCTGCTTAAGTTACACTGAGAACAGCAACAATAGGAAAAAAAAMCCAAAAACTTTGAGGATAGCCAGGGCTTAATTATTAAT